CCTCCCCCTTTTCACCCTCCCAGTCACCAAACCTCGCCGGTCCCCCTTCGGTAGCCGCTGCCGCGCATTCTGCCTGGACGGGGAACCACTTTGCCATCAGCATCAGCATCACCATCACCACCATCGTGCAACGTGAATATAGGGATACGCAGCGCACGTTGTAAGGCCGTTGCAGTCCCGCGTGTGCTGGTGACCCTACCCAGAGCGTTTGCCCTTTGGAGGAGACACGGTCGTAGCGAAGGGCCCGAGCCCGTTTGCTACGTGTAGTTTGATACCGTGTTTAATGTGTTGGGGATGCCGCTGTTTTCAATTAACTCGAAATGGTGCAGGATGTTTTGCTTAAAAGTAACGATGAAAGGAGGGGAAGGTTGGTGAGGGGTAGGGTGAGTCGGTTGATTGTGTGGTAAAAGCGACGCTATGAATGTTCTCCAATGATAAGGTTAATACAACGTGCCGATTTTGTTTATACGATGTGGCTGTTGAGCAATTATTTTTTAGTTTGTAAAACGTAATTATTTTTAATAGCTTTCAAATAATTATTACGTTTTATTTTTCTCCTAACAACAGCGCGAAGTATTCATACGAATATTTTTTTATTATATATTTTTATTAATTAGAATTATATTATTCTTGCAAAAATATTCTTGAAAAAATCGTGTTGGACAATTTTTTGAAAGTGCTTTAATTGAATGTGTCACATGAGTCATATAAATCTCCGTTTTCTAATGAATATGAGTTACGATACAGTAACGCGGTTTCGTTTTTTAAGCTATTTATTTAATTCAGATATACACAATATGTATGAATAGTGACGTAAAACAGGAAGCTATTCTAATGGAAAATTTTGCGGCGAATTTGTAATTCATTTTTTTTAAATGACATCTTCAAGTTCGAATTTGCGATCGACTCAAGTAAGATCCGTGCAATTCAGACAACTATTAGACCGCACTATAGAGGTAAAGGACCTCTCCCCGCCTCCATCCCTCCCAGCTCAACAAAGTTATAGTCTATCCAAACATCCCCTACCGTCGTATCCGCAATCGTCTCGATAAAGAGAGAGGCTGCTGCAGAGACCACTGACTTTCCGTCGCGGTAATGAATCGCGACTACCACACCCCCCGCCTGGCATCATCTGTACAAGAAAGTATCTAATCCCCCTGATTCACTGTCGATACCATCGCTATACACAACCCTGTCCGCTTCCTCCATCTCTCTCGTTCTCACTACCATCGAACAGCCCTCCTCCCCTCTCCTCCCGCGCGCTCTCGCTCGCTCTCGCGCTCTTCATCGCCCTCGAAGTCACCCTCTATCTCCTCGTGATACACGCTCCGATACGAGAGAGATAGAGCTCATCTAACAGGGGCTCGCCACGGTCTTTAACTCGCAAATGCCCCGCGTTCACTTTGCCGTATTAGATTCTAATAGGGGGACACGCTAGCTGTGGGGGGTCATTCATGTTAAGAGCTCTTCGTCTCATCTCGTCGCGCCGCGTTGCACTTGACTTGTCTTAACTGAGTGTTTACGCGGTGGTCCCTGATTAAATCGTGCGACGGACATCATTGCCAATTTCGGCAATGACAAAGTCACGTCCATTCGATCGCATACAATTATCGTTAAACGCGTGAAATTAATGAATCTGTTTGAGGAAATATGATACAAATAATTCGCATGTGTATACATAAATATATCAAGCATATTTCGATGCGGAATTATAATTGCGAACAATTAATGATGTCATCAGTTTCTTCAAATAAATATTCGTGGTTTTACTTAATTTTCTTTTTTTAGTAGATATTTTAAATTTAAAAGTAATTTAGAAATTATATTAAGAATAATATAATTTTTTAAATATAATTTTTTAAATATAGAAGGGGAGTAAATTTAAAATTTTAGAAGGAATACTCGAAGAAATAAATCATCACTATTAGAAATTGCGCTTGCCGATTTATTAATTAAACAATATAATTTACGTTTTAAATGTATAATTAAAATTTTGCTATGTAACAATAAAATAAAGAGTTCTATAAACCTTTAGTGATTTTAAATTCAATGTCTATGTTGTGTATAAGGTACCATACGTACGGCACACCTGTATCATTTATTAGCTCAGATTACGCATATACATCACCGGCAAATATTTCATCGCAAGAATTTATGCGAACGCCGACCGCGCGCATTACGCGGGAGAGACGCTCCTTCCCGTGTCATTCCGCGAGAAGGATATGGGAGTCACATTCGAGCAACGACGTTCGGTTGATCGAATATATTAACGTGCGGGCAATTTGTACAGCCTGACGGATATAACCCCGAGAACCATCGGTGGCAAAATGTATTCCGGGGATTACATCTCCCGAAATCCGCCGTCGTGCTATTAGGCGAACCAAAAAAAAAAAAAACGAAAGAACCGTGCGGCAGCGCGCGGCGGGCGGCGCTCGGTAAGGTATACGTTTCGATAATGAAAAAGTTATAAATCTGGAATTGTGAAATGGCGGGCCGGTATAAATCTTCATCGGGCAGCGCTGCCAAATCCCTTCGTACCGCGTAAATCCCTTTCCAATATTGAAAAAAGTGATAGGTCCAGTATGTAATGATCCGGTATTACCCGAAACCGCGAGGGAGCGGTATCGATCTATCGTTGGTATTCCGCTCGCATCGACCGCATCGTTCTCTATACATCCTCCCGTGTATCCCAATTATAAGATATCACCCTCGAATAAAACAACCGCCGTGCACACAGTCGCAATGCCGCGCCGCGCGAGCGCAGTTGTATAATTTTTCTAATTTCGGATAAACGACAGATTTATTGAAATTTTTCCGTTTAAGCTTTTCCTCTCTTTTCTTTTCTTTTTTTTCTTTTTCGACGAAGCTTGCGAATTTTGTGATTCGAGCTCCATCAGCAGATGATCTTTTACATTTTTATCTAAGAAAGCCGAAACATCTTAGACCGCGATCTTTCGCGTGTAGGGGTGAAGCCGCTGGATGTGTAAAGCAACAGCTGTAATCCCGTCGATATCACCATTTTTTTCCTCCCCTATCACATATGTATATGTTACCGGCGAATTTCACGATCGCCACGCTCTCATTCCTGAGAAACTTGGAAGGAAATCGCACGATACCGCGAGATAACGCGGGATTCATCGGCGGCGGAGGGGGAGGGGGGTGTTGATGTAAACAAGTCCACCCTTCCTCCCGATCTTTTTTCCCCACCCAGTCAGCCGGGTCGCGCAAAAGAGTACGCGGGTATATATTGTCGTAATATTTCGAAAAACGCGCCGGCACACTCGGAGATCCGGGGGCAATCTCGCCCTCGAAGATGGCATATACGCGGAGGTGAATCGCCTCTTCCCGAGGAAATCCGAGGTAATTGAATGCTAACCCTCCTCACCCCCGCGGCGCATCCCCTCGCCTCCGCACTCTCGCTCCGCGCAACTCCTCGTTCACCCTCCGTGTCGCGTCCCTCCAACCCCTCCCCCCTCCCTCCCCCGTAGCCATCCCAACCCCCCGTGGGCTTCAGGGGGCGCCACGCTCGCACTCTCGCTCCCCCTTCGCCATCACTCACCGACACAGACTTGTAGCTTTCAATAAAAATGTAAATATGGCGGCGTAGAACGAGCCAATGACAGCGCTACATCGACGCCCGAGTCCGCGAGGGATAGATAGATAGAGAGAGAGAAAGAGACAGAGAGGGAGAGAAAGGGAAAACCCTGCCCTGCAGCAGGGGTTGAGGGTTTCCAAATGGGAAGCTTTCTCTCTCCTCTCTCTCTCTCTCTCTCTCTCTCTCTCTCTTTCTCTCTCAGAGGGTCGAAGATGGCGAGAGAAGAGGAAGAGGAGGAAAAGGGAGACGAAGGGTGAGAGGAAGGCTTCGACTCGGAGCGGAACGCCGAAGGTGGAAGGCGAAGAGGCGGAGGAGCTTGCGGGGGCGGCAGAGAGATAGCCGGGAAGGAAGAAGAGAGGAGTGCAAAAGCTCACGCGGAGGACGAAAGGAGAGAGATAATTCTCTCTCTCTCCCTCCGTCCTTTCGCTCACCGTCACCGCGGCCTCACCCGAGTTACACCCGTGTGTCTCACCCGATGTTCCCCGTTCTTCTCCCTCCTTCTGGTGACGGCGAGAGGGTAGTGAAAGGGGGAGGGGGGGGAGGACGTACCGCCGGCGTCCGCGAGAGAGCGACGCCGAGGATGACGCAGGTGCCGCAAAGCTTGACACGTCTCCGGCTGTTTTGTCACCTTCTTTTATCCTTCGAACTTTTTTACCGGCTACCTCGTTAGATGCCCCCCCCCCCTCCCTTCCCGCCTCTCTTCCGTTCGTTCCCCTCTTTCTCGTTCCCCCCCTCCCCCTGCAGTGCCCTCCCCGTTCCGCGGGCGGGGCGCGTTGATGGAGTAAGCCGAGCAACGAGCAGGACGTTTTTTAAAATCGCGCCTCCGCGCGCACGAGTGAGCCACTTTTTGCGAGAGCCATCCCGTGGAAGGGCCCCCCTCGGGGCGTCGACGGGCGATCGCGGCGGATTTCTTTTTTCGAGGGAGATTTTTCGGTCGCGGATTACTCGCGGGCGCGCGGATTTGCGTTTCCCGCGCCGGGGCGATGCTTTGATCGATCTCTCGGTGTCAGCGGCGAACTCGAAGACAAATGTCTCCTCGCCTCTCCTTTTTTTTTTTACGGAGGGATACTCGCGATATGGTTTTGAAGAGTCGGGATATTCGCAACGTGAATCACGCTAAACTTCGTCTGTTATATTGGCCTATCACTCTTGCAAAATACTCTCGTCAAATATTGAATCTCTCTTCCGTGCAACTAAGGATCTAAAAAAACAAAAAGATATCTTTAATTCCGGAGATAAACGATTATCTCCGGAATTCCTTCTTTCCTTGGGAAACGCGGCGATGTCTTTAAACAGTTTAAACAGCGAAAGATGGAATTATATGTAAATCGATCTGACGGAAGTATCATCTCGGTCAATTCGCTGCGAATGTATATAGCTGACTGCAATAAGCGAGATATTATACCTTGACTTGGGATTCCGACATCCCGAGGGCGTACGCCAATTTGGCGCGCTCCGGGCCGGCTAGGTACTTGGTCTGCTCGAAGGTCTTCTCCAGAGCGAAGATCTGCTGTCCACTGAACGTGGGCCTCGTATGCTTCTTCTTGCCGCCCTCGTGTTCCCCGGCGCCGCCGCCCGTGCCCGTCATCGCTTGCTGACAGCCCAGCTGTTGCGACACTGCAACATTCGCGTCACCCGATGAGTGGTTCCTGAATATCCGTTTCGCTTCGCTGCGAATGGAGTAATTAGCCTTAGCCAATAGCACCGGACGGCGTTGTGTTTAATTTAGCCTAAAACGTAGCGTTCGGAATAAGAGAGAGAGAGAGGGAGGAGTTGAGATTGATGAGATCATAATTTATAATGGCTACTTTAAAGATACCAGTCGCTTCTTACAGATCGAGAAATTTATTCCACTTTTTTCAAACATCTAAAAATCACAATCTTTCGCCGAATTATTATCTATAAAATGTATACTTGTTTTATTCGCGCGCTGATATATTACGCCATTTGGCTGCGCCAATCCTCGGTATAACGGTTAAATCGAGAGACGTTGAAATTCAATCATCAAAAAAGTTATAACAGAATTTCGATTTTACATCTATGACGAACTATAACTGTAAATTTTCATTGCGTTCTCGAGCAATTGTGTGCATGCGATTGTGCGTACCGTACATCACGTGAGGCATTCTATTAGGCCCCTCGTGATCTCTTTTCCGACTCGCAGAATTAAAGGGGAAACTGCATGCAAGTCCCATCTGTGACTTTCTGTCGTGACATTAAGTCACAGGGAAATGTCGCCATATTCGTTACACTAACACCAATAGCCTGGATTACACAGATAAGCGAGGATAAGTGCACACAATATGCACTTTATAACACATATGTGCGTATGAAGTGCATATAATACTCTTGTACTTCCTTAATAAATTTGATTTCGTTGTATTGCCAGTATGCTAATTATACAGCGCAATGAAATTTATTAGGGAGATGCAACGCGCTATTATATGCACTTGCCCCATATACACACTTACCCCCCATTTGTTTTACGTAGGAAAAATATGTCCGTGATATATCTTCGAGCATAATTAGCTTCCGTGTTATAACCGTAAGAAGTATTTCATTTTAACCGCAGTTCGAAATTAATTCGCCATATTCCGGAAATTAATTACGACCCTTATAACGTTGGTAATTATTGCCGCAACCATTTAATATTTCTCTCTTTCATTGTGTGGATTCGCGGCGACTATGGCACTGATTTTTCTACCAAGTGACTTCTACTTCTTTCAATTACTTACGTTTTAATTAAATCAAATCTACATTTTGGATTATGTTACCCTTTTATTCAACTTTATTCAAAACTATTTTTTGGACACTTATATTATTGCAAATTTCAATAATTATTATTCAGTGTTATCTTATAGATTAAAAGAAACCTATATATAGATTAAAGAACTTTATTTTGTTCGCGTCGGTTGATTTTTTTAATCTCGGCCACTCGGTCGAGAGCCAATTCTTAATTAGATCGGAAAAAGAGGCTCGAGAAAATTTTCGAGGGTAATCGAGAGGGACAGTCGAGAAGGGGGACGTCTTTCCGCGGGGGACGAGGGGGCCGCATACGGTCCGATGTGGCATGTGGGGCGCGTATATACAAGGGGGCGAGAGATGCGAAAGGGATTCGGAGGGGGAGGGAGGGGCGAGTGAGGAAGGAAGGGTCGACGCGCAGGGTCGTCGTGACGCGGTACAGTGTGGGTTGTGGGACTTTAATTTAATAAAGCAATTTGTAACGGAATACGGAACGAGGCAATAATGGCCGGTCGGCGGGGAGGGTTCTAATGAGCTGCTTACCGCACTCCAACCCCGGGTGTGCCTTCGACGGCGACGGGGGTGGGTGGTGTACACGTTCTCCGCCCGTTGGATATCCCTCCATTCGTCCTACTAAGCCGCCCGCGCATATCTCCGCGGCCGCCTCCGCAAAACCCGATAAGTCCGCGTTTTTATCAAAATTTGTATGCGCCGCATACGGCGCACCCCGCGGGATTTCTTTCGCGGTATAATTTCAGACTTGCCTCGCGAGATAAAGCGTTATCAGTGTCATCGGCGATGGCGTAATTTGTCAGGGAAAACTTAAACGAAAGACAGGACGGAACTCACTCGCATTGAACGATGAACAATATAAATTCGGATTGTAATTACGTTGAGGAATTTACTAACAATAAGACGTCAAATAAAAATATTCCCACTGAAATTAAAATTGAATAAAATCTCGTAATATATGCGGTTGTAATATTTGGACATTTATTATGTTAGGGATTTATAACAAAGGATGATGAACGATTCATCGTAATATATTTTACAACATATGTATAAAATATGTTAAGCAATACATAACAAAGATATATATTGCGTTTCCATCATATGCGCGCGCGCGAAAGCTTTTTAATTAAAGCACTTTCTTGATTTTTTTTAAACAAGCCGAATGTCCGCTTGTGTCGGATCGTTCCGACGATTTATTGCCCGACTTTTTCCACAAAATATTTTTTTTCGCTCGGGAATTTGGGGACCTGTGGTATAAAGTTTTAACCCATCTATCGACCTGCATGCCGTCCAATTCCAATTGAATCCGACCACCGTTTCGCGCGAGTTTTTCCCGCAAAGAGCTAGTTAATACAATAGATGAAATAAACTATCGTTCCCGCGGAGCCATCGGAATTCCTGTCTTCGGATCGCATCGATTTTGTCTTACAATAAAAACCCTCGAAAAGAGACCGTCCACTCGTCAAGCCGGTTTACGCGTTACGTCGATCAAAGGACTATTTGTCTTCGGTACGTGGTCATATCTGTCGAAGGTATCATCCTCCGCTGCGCCAACGGATTCCGGATTAATCTTTGTAGCATGTCGCGGCGTGATACGAGGGTGAGCGGCGAGGAGAGAGAAGGGAGGGACCATAATTTAATCAGCCGATTTAGAGTGAACAAGTGACACGCGTGTCGCGGGCAGTGTATGCGAGCGAAATCGCTCCGGATAATGCGCATATATCGATACCGCCTTCACACACACACACAGGCCGTCTATCGCGCGTGTGCGCGCACGGCATCGCCGCCGCGCGCGGATAACGCTCCGATGTCCGATTAGACGAAGTATCGGCACGGCAAATTGATGCGTCCGCCCGCACCGTGTCGATGTAAATCAGCGGCAGGTGACCGTATCGCGCGGCGTGAGCGCGCGCGGCGTTTCAAAAAAGAGGAACGATCAAAAACGAGACACCGTCCGGCCATTCGTAATATTCGTTATCGGCGAACGGAAGTCCGAGCGGTGCGCGAGGCACGGGTGCGCGCTCGATTGCTCGATTTATACGGGGTGAGCGACGACCCCCCCCGCGCGCGCACACACGGTGTCACACGGGCCGTTTTATCCACCCGAGAGTGTTCGGGGCGAAACAAATCATTCGTGGTAAAGATGCGTCGCGATTCGGACACAGAGAGGGAGAGAGAGAGAGAGAGAGTGGTGTGTGTGTGTGAGTGAGAGAGGGAGATAAGGGGAGGGAGAGCGATAGAATCATTTCTATTATTTTTTAGCAATATCAAAATCTGTTCTTGTTTAATAATGTTCGTGGCTACTGTTCTCACTTAAGTGTTCTATAATACTGAAAAAAGAATTGTATAACTATGATGATTAATATTGACTTATAAAAAATCCCTTTTTTTTAATACTATACTGATTGCTTTTATTAAAGAATTAATCAATATCCGGAAATAAAGACATATATGCAATAAATAATATCTCTTTCTATTGAATTTCTGTAAAATTTTGTCGTGTGGATCACACAAGTATAATATACATTTCTGTATGTTAATTTATATAATATTAAGAGAAATCAATAGTTTCTCAAGCCAAACGTTTCGACATCACTTGTGCTCTATCAATAATTATATTCAGTGGATAATAGCGCGATGCAATTGTCGGAATAAAAAGTCAGGGATGACGTAGGGGGGCGATGGTCCGTCACTTCGACGTAATTGAATCGGATATCACTCGACTTCTAGAAAGCATGATCGGGCGCTCTTGAAGGGGCTGCTCGCTCCATCGGCGACGTGAGTAATAACGGCGCGCATCGAGCGGACTGGCGTCCGCGAGGAATGCTTTATCGAGTGTGCAAAGTGTGTTGTCACCAAAAGTAAATGGATGCTTAGTTAATTCGAGTTAACGAGGCCGCCCCGCCGCGCCGTGCTGGTCGCGCGAGATCCATTAAACGGTAGTACCGGCGCCGAGGGAAGGACCGCAATCATTAGCGAGCAAAAAAGAATATATCGCAAATAAAATCTTCCGCAAATAAAGTCTTCCGTATTAGATAATATTAAAGTAACAAAAATTTTTAAATAGTAAAAGATAATGCATGAAATAAAATCATTCGCCTTAAATTATAATATACAATATTACTTAATCCTCAAATATCTTAATTACTTAATTTTTATTTTATACGCGAAATTTATGCTTTCTACGTATGAAAATAATTTTTGGAGAACGATATAAATTTTTTGAGAGTCCCTCGTCGAGGAGGGGTTGTTCTTGATTTCTACGCCGAGACGCTTATACCCCGTGAAACACGCTCGCGAAAAGTTATTGGAACCCAGATCGCGGTCGGCTTCTCCCTGCTATAAGGGTGATTCGCTCTCCATGGATATATCGTGAGTAATAACAATATACATCGGCCGGCACCGGAATCTCGTCGCGTCAGCGACGTTTTCATTACCGGGTTCGCTTACGTGACGCTTACCCGGGTGAGTTTCATGTCCATAAAGCCCACCAGATGAGGAAAGTGAGGAGAGACAGGGCGAGGGAAAAAAAAGGGGGGAAACACGGAAAAGAACGGGCGATGACGGGCGTGAAAAAAAAGGTGTGGAGAAGGGAGAAGGAAAATACAGGAAGGAGCGGCAGAAATAACAGTGTACATCGTGGATATCTAAACAGAAATAAGGTGCACGATATCCGACGTTCTCGTTATGGAAGTGAGAATGAAGGAAAGGACGGATAGATGCCCGTCATTTTCACGAGAAGTTCGTGTTTTATGCATAGGATAGGATTTTATGCTATATACGGGAGCGAAATCGGAGTGTTATGAGAGGATTTTATGCGGGAAATCTCATGCATGGATTACAAATTAATATCAACGAAAGTTATTAAAAGTTTTAATAATGCACCTGTTTATATTAATACTGACAGAGCTTCTATTGAAGAAGTTTTATGTAGATCATTAAAAAATTTTGCGATATTAAAAATCTAAAGTTCTACAACGAAAATATTAATCAAGATTATGAGAAGTTTACGTTTTCCCTATATTTAAAGTTTTAAAACGATGCTCTGTTTAAGAGAAATAATACAATCCAAAAATTCTTTGGACATAAAGGGAATGTTTTCCCAAATATTCTTCTCTCTTACACAGTTCAAAATTGAGATTCTTTTTAATTAATATCTTTCTAATCTTTGAACACTTTTTGATACAAACATATTTTAATCAATTTAGAGTCACGTCCTTAATTGTCTATACACGAGTCTCAAGTTTCGAACAAATATCGAGGTGATTATTATCGCCGCTATTTCCCGCCGTCGAGAGGAAAATAAGAGCGGCGGGGGCGGGTAGGCTGGCTGAAAGTTAGTCCGGGTTGGCTTATTTCGGGTGTAGTTGTATCCCGATATATACGGTGCGGAGGCATAAATAGACGACGGTTCCCGCGGCGATCGTTCGACGATGCCTCGCGAGGGCCATGAGCCGATCAACGTTTCGCCCCGGAATATAAAATATACCGGGTAGCCGACGTGTAACTCTTACGTTCCGTGCGAAAGCGGGGGGTGCGCGCCGGTTCCCCTGTCCCCTTCTCCGTCGCCCCACGGGAGGAGGATTCGACGTGGAGGGCGAGGAGAGGACTCGCCACCCGCAGCCCGTGTACCGCGGGAGAGACGGTATAGAAAAGGCAGGCGCGGATGCCGCAGTTAAAATATTGCCGGAGTTATTCGCGCGAGTGTGGAAAACGTAGCACGCGGGAGAGGCAGCAGAGGGGTTGACCGATGGTGGGGCAGAGGGGAGTTCAGGAGGACGGGGACGACGGAGATGGGGCGACCGACGGCCGGCGGCGGTCGCTCCCGGGGTTGGGGGCAAGGTTGATATTGAATATGATGATATCCCGGATCCGACGCCGCAGCGGACTACCGCTACCACCCTCTTATTCGCCCCCCCCCCCTCTCCCACGGTTCGTACGACACACTCTCCCTCTTTTTCCCCCTCTCACTTTCTCTGTCTCTCTCTCTCTCTTTCTCCTTTGCCGACATGCCGCGCGCGGCGGCGAGCACATTCGAAACACACACGCGCCCACACACGCGCCTCCACACACCACGGCCTGTGTCCACGCCCGCGTTCCATGCACACGCTGTGTTCTTACGTCGCGACGCGGCCGCGGCACATGTGCCGTCCCCCGCAGAGGGTTGATGTATCGTGCCCGTGTCTTTCTCCTCTCTGTCTCTCGTCTTCACCGCCATCGCTCTCCGTCTCCGTCTCTCCGTCGAAAGGGGAACGAGACGTCACGTGTTCCTTCACTTTGTTTGTGATTTTTTTCTCTCTCTCTCTTTCTCGCTCTGCGGAGCCCTTAATCGTCTTCTCGTCGTGAGGACGGGAGTGGGGGGGGGGGTGTATACACGCCGGCCGTGCTACCATCGGGAATGTCCCGGTATGTATGTCGAGGAGAGGGATCCCGGTGGCTAATTGAGCGTGAACCGTCCAAGTGCCCGAGGGAGTGCGAAGGGAATGTGTCGGCACTTGATAACGATCGGGATCGACCTGCTACGATCGGTCCGGTGTCTACACGTGAACGACGGTCGTATATGTCGACATAGCCTCGTGTAGCTTAGATATGAATGCACGGCCAAGTTCCGCAGACACCTAACGCATTTTTTAACATTTCACCATTGAAAGATTTGCACAAGGAATCGATCAAATGGAATCTCAAATTTAATAACTTTACTTTAATATGATTGATACGTCAAGTAAATTACGATTTTCTCAATAATTATATAACGTTTATTTATACGTAATTATATTACGAGATTAATGCCATGTATAATATTATCTTCTATTCAACTTCAAAGATATGGCCATCGAAATACGTATAATCTTCTCGAGTTTAATTAAATACAATAAATCTGGAATTAGCTGAAATATGCTTTCGAATCGGACATTAAAAATTTTGAATTGACCTACCTCATTTAGCTACTCACGCGTTCGTTTCTTTGCCACAAAATTGCATGTAAAAGATGATGTATATTAGTGTAAATTGGGAAGTAATAGATTACACGAATATTTGCAATTCAATTAGTAATTAGTATGCGTTGCATTATATCGATGAAACTGTAAACTCGATAACTCGAATTAATTTTAAATTCAACGTTCAATATCCCTTGCGACATGCACGGCACAATTTCGTCTAGCTGGCTTGTAGAATTTTATTTTTCTCGAAATTATTCTACATAATTCTGTATGCCGCAATTCCGTAAATTTCCAATTAATTAATAATCACTTTGTGGTATCTATAATTATGATATATTGTATATTTATACGGATAAATATATGCACGCACGTACAACAGGCCGGACAATTACATTTACTTGGCATTTAATGTATAATATTTTATGTAACAATTCTCATTCTACAACTGTTTCATTATTCAGCGCGTAAAATTATTTTAGCTTCCTAATCGTATTTCATTGGAACGGGAGAGGGCTCAAAATCCTAATAATCTTTGAGCGAATTAACATACGGCGAAAGGCCTATTGATGTGGTTTTTTTAAGCGGTCAAATTCTTCGTTTATGTGTCATCTACTTGTCCCCCTTGTTCAGATTAAGGATCCCTCTCGTTCTCGTCGTGCCCGCGGGCCCCTCGCTCCACGACTTCCTTTCCCGCGCTCTCCGCGCGCGCGCCGCTCGACGACAGTTTCCACGCATTTTTTAAATTCCTTCCCGTGGGCGACCCACGTCGCGCTTCAAACGACTTTCCGGGCACGCCGGAGACAAACACGGAGACACGTTCGGCAGCACGTGTTTCTTCACTTCAGCCCTGTGATTTTCCTGCCGCGAAAGCAAACACGCGCAGCTGTCAAATCCGCCGCGACGGTGCCCGGGGAAAGGTAACGAAACATCCGCAGGCGATTGAGACGTACGACAATGCGCGTATTTAGAAGTAATGATAATATATCTTCTCCATTATCCAAGAAATGCTCGAAAAAGAAAATAAAAAGATGAGAAGTAAGAGATGAAAAAGATATGCTTTAAGCGTCATCTACAATGAGACTTAAGACTCAAGATTTAAGAAAATTGACCAATTACAGTCGATTATCTTACGTGAAAAGAATAATCGATTGTAATTTGTCAATTTTCTTAAGTCTTAAATTTTATTGTAAACGCCGCCCCTCTCTCTCTCTCTCTCTCTCTCTCTCTTTAAGGACAAAATTTCCAATTTAGAAAGTAAGGCATTATTAGACATAATTGAGCATCTCATTCTAACAAATCTTCGTGATCAATGAGCTTTACATTAGTATTTAATGTTAAGTATATTGTATAGTATATTGTATATAAGTATGCGATGATTGTGCTCGATAAACATGCGACTAAAATGCGTTATTCTCTCTCTGCATATAATATTACATATGCATATACATATAAGAGACGTAGCGCGTGAGAGATACTGAACTTACATGTGTGTAATCTTGCCCGCCATGCGAGAGGATCGCTGACTAGTCCCTGAAGGCCCGGCCAATAGACAGCAGTGTGCCGTGGTTCCGCTCTTTGTTGAAATTGGCTGATACCTAGAGATAAATGAACACTTACGTATTACATATGAATTTTGACTTAAGCTGGTTATTCCGAAGTCCGTACGAATCAATGATATACTTTTCTAAATTTTCCGTCCGTAAACAACAAATAATATCTTCTAGTTAATTGGTCATTAATTCTTTTTCAATAATAAGATACATAAAAGAAATATAATTGCAAATTGAAAATAATGTATTAATTCACGAAAAGAACAATTTTGCTGAATTCAGATCTGAAAATAACTTTTGTTCAACAATCAAAATAATTTTGTGCGAAAGTCAAAATGATTGATAGAATATCAAAATGTTTTATAGCAACGCTTATCAGTTTTAACATTCCAACAAATTATTTTAATGATTCAATAAAAAATTATTTTCCGATCTGTTTTTAACAAAATTTTAAGGCCTTTCAACAAAATCGTTCTTTCCGTGAAGAAGTAATAATCTAATAATCTTTCAAGAAATCTTAGCGGAAAACGTGTGTTTATACGTGTGTGTTCATACTTTTCTACTTGCGACTTTTTCTCCTCTTTGAAAAAAAAGTGTATTTTATACGAGGTTAATAATCATTGGCGATATTAATAATGATGTATATTTAACTGATATTGGGATTAAACGCAGCGGGCATAACATATGCTTTGGTCCGACCGTCGATGTAGATAACGATATTGGATTTACGATAATTCAGATAGCGGCGCATATTGGAGTAATAATCGAAGGAAGCCGTAAAATGCAGCGGCGATATGTAGAACGGTCGCGCGTTTACTGACCGAGTAAAACAGCTTCCTCTCGGATCGATGTCGGCCAAGTCGTCCCGCCGTTTCTCCACCGTAAACCGCTTTATTAAGCTTCAGTTTTTTTCCTCCTCCTCCCCCTCCCCCCTCTCCCCCGCCCGTCCCGTTTCCACATCTACGCGATTCATTTCACATTTTTATCATACGCAATTTTCATACAACTCGCATCCGTCCGGAATATGCAAGCGGAATTTAAATGCCGCAATTTTATAAGCCGCGCGACCTCGCGACAGATTTCAATCTCGTCCTTTCCCCCCTCTCTCCCTCCCCGCCAAATAATTAAACGTCAAACTGAGAAAAATCCGAACGTCCGTTATTGTATTACAAACGGTTATACAATTTTATTTCCGATTCTTGCGCAAATCGTATACGGTTTCGACCCTTTCAGATTTCGACTGTTTGAGAGTGCCATGATAATATTTGCATTGTACACAATTTGAATAACGTAATTCGTGATAGAAATACCGAGAGAGAGAGAGATGATTATGGACGAGATCAAATATAAAAAAAAATTATTAGAGGATCTTTCGGCATTTTTCGTCTCTGCTATATTTAGGATCCCGGTGGTTCAGCTCGACGGAGATTCTATCGAATCTGGTGTTTTAGTCGAGATTATTGGCGACCGTACACTCTCCCGTACACATGCACACATGACGCCAATTCGATTCGCAGCCTCGAGAGAGGATGCCTCGGCAACTCACGCTATACGCGGAGACCTTAATGATCCGACCTTTCGAACGCGAGAAATTAGTCGACTTAAGCCGGGCTCTATGCGAGGGCACGGCGCGGCTGGGGATATCGAATCCGTAAATATCGGTCGTCGGGATCCGACGGACTTTTTGCGCGGATTAAGGGGAGATTAAATTGATCTCTCTGACCGATCGAAACGCGCGAATCGAATAAAAGACACGGCGGAATTATCATCGTTCGCATTTCCAAGACTTATTATTATCTTATCGTTTTTGTAAAGAAGACATGGGTCTTATATGCATTTATGCGTATTCCTCAGAGTTTTTATGCTTTTAAAAACGATTATTTCTTTCAACAAGCATTCTTGGATATGTTATTATATGATTTACACGTTTTAATTGATCTTAATAAATGCATTTTTCTACTTAACTTTTTAATTGTTAATTAAAAAAGTCTGCAATTATTCAATTGCGTTTATAAGTTCGTTATTTATTGCTTCACCACGTTGCATACATAACGATTAATTCACAATCGTAAAAATATTCAAGAAGATAGGCACTCTTTTAATTTGTCCATCAAGTTGTTGGTGAGAAATTCTGGATAATAAATGATTAATAAACTCGATCTCTCACGGGTCTCCGCGAATTTTTGTCCAAGACTGTATCAATTCAGTCAGTTTCAGTATCGAGAAACAGGACGTATATGTTCGTAGAATAATTTTGGAAAGTTATTTACACCCACGTTTTTAATTGATCGTCATCGTACAATAATGTCCACGTATCCTCGCAACCTTTCCCGCGATATTTCACCGGTGACATTCACGGTACGACGTCGTTTACTAAAGAAACTCATCCAATGATCGTCCGCATTCAGAAATTAGCCATAATCGCGATTGGGAGCGTTGGCTCCCGGTTGCGTGGGTTGCGTTTAATTCGTTTTCGGGTGCGTGTTTCTACCGACCGTCCACGCTTGTCCGTCCGAACAATAAAGCGTTATTTCCATTTTACCGTCGACGACGCCGAACGGGGACGAGAATAGGGATACGCGCGACACGAACATCCTCTGATCGCCGCTCCTTTTGTCCGTTACGCCGAAATCAGATGGAATTTATGGGATCATAAACGGTTAAACCCGCGCACGCTCATCAACAAAAATACCCGCGATCATGCTCTTTGTCCGCCGGGCCCACGTGGCCCGTGACGGGCCCCGGACGGAGGAAAGGAGAGTGGAAGGTTGAGGTCTTCTCGATTCTCGAGACCCCCGGTACGCGCTTTTACGACGGCCTCGTTCGAGAACGCCGTGAATCGGGCAATTAAAAGCATTTAAAAATGTGTATGCGTGATATCTGAATACCCTCGGATCTTAATTACAAATGCTTTGACAGTCAATCTTTGGAGAAGACATTAATCTTAGGATAAGCTATTATCCTTCATGATTTCTTTAATATTCAATATTAAATATCTTGATATACGACAGAACTAATTTTCAAAATAAAATTCTGAGAAAGCGAGGGTATCACTTAAAATTAAGACTGAATTAAAAAATAGTTCTATATCTGAATTTAGAGGGAGGATACCATTACGAAACACAACAGATGTAGTAAGCCTTAAGCCGTAAAAAATGGACCAATCGCAGTCCAGTGTGAAGAGAATAATTGATTATGATTGATTAATTTCTTATGGCTTAAAGCTTACTATACATCTATGTGTTTCGGGACTAAAAGGCTCTCTTATAATTTGCAGCTTCGAGATTTAACTCTCGAGCATCTCTCTATACGCTGAAAAAAAAGCCATCGATGCATCGACGTTTTTGTCAAAAAAAAAAACAAACAAAAAAAAAGTAAAAAGAGTTTGCTTTAAATTGCTAGAACATCCTACGTGTATATATGCGATACGTCGCGTTTATTGGAACGACCAATCGGGAAAACACGGCGTGTGCGAGCGTAAGCTATAAATATTTGACGCACTGAATATCGCGGTGAATAAGAGGTGTACGGACGCGACGTCGACGGGCGGGTAAGCGGACGAAATATTTATCGTTTAATACCGCACATTTTGATGGGCTTTTTGTCATTTATACAGCGGCGATCGGCAGTCTCGCGCGCGCGCGCACGCGGCCGCCCGGCGAGAATTTAATTAATGACCATCGGTGTAAAGCGTATACGCGCGCGCGCGAGAGATCGATCGGTATCAGATGTCAATTAGCGGCGCGCGTTGCGAATCGCATAATCGCGCGCGATGACGATAGTGCGGCGGCGACGTGAAAAAGAAGAGCGGTTGTGCTTTGTGACGCGATTATAATCCGGTATTTTTGTGCTCTGCAAATAGATAATATTCTCTTGACTATGATATAGCTCGGTTAAATTATTTTCTTCACGCGTGCTTTACGTCGTGTAAGTCATCCGCATCGCGGATTTACGACGACTAAAAGCGATGTATAAAAGGAGGGAGTTCTTTTATTCTAAAGATTATATAACTTTGGCTAAAGATAAATTAACTGCCTTGTTTGTTAAACTATTTTATTTCAATCAATCGAATTGAATCGCGGGCGATGTCACGACACGTTCAAATCGGCGATGCGTTATTGATATGAATAAAACGTGCGACGATGTGCTGCTTTAGCGGAAGCAATTTATACGGGATATGTACAGTGTACGTATAATATATATATATATATATATATATATATATGCAGTTGAAACTGTATACTCATGCATACGTATATATCCGGTGGCCGTCTATAATTCTAACAGAACGGCATTCGCGCGCCATCGAATTCGCGTCGTAAATACGAACCGCGTCGCTCGTCGTATTCGTAATCGACGTAATCTGTCTAATACGACAATGAAGTCGGTTACCCATTAAACCGTTATTGAAACCGTATACGATTACGCGAATTACGGCGTGGTAGTTCCGACGTACGCGCCATTGTAACGCGCGTATTGTTGCACCGAGTGCCCGGTGTATGTATATCTACACCGCGCCGATTTGAAACACAGGCAAACATCGCAAATGCATTTGACAGGATTACACAGTAACGATATATGACTATTTTATTTCGCCGTGCGTAAAATTCCATATATTGCGTTTACGCGCATGGGGATATCATGCGCGCGTCACCGTTTCGAGATACTCGATATTTTCACATTTTAAAGCGCCTGCAAAATATCCGAGAAGAAAATAGATATTATAGCGTGTAAAAGAATATTTTCAAGAAGTGTTTCCACAAGGCGTGTAACCTATTGTTGAATTATTCGATCGCGCTAAATTTTTAACGTATAAATTAGCCTTTTGAAAACCCGCGCAGCTTCCATATTTTAACATTTGCAGTTCATCTAATTGGACGCGGCCTCTCGCGCGAGTAAATGTGTTCAAGAAATGTCTCGCTTCTCTATCGATTCCCGTGTGCTCATTAGCTGCCCTTGAATTTATTCGCCAGATAACCACGTTTGTCGCAAGCGAGGGGTGCAGCTCTTAATGCAGCCCCCGATGGCAATTCGATTGCGCGGGAATTTTCGCAGACCTTCGTGAATCACGTACAGTCTTGTATGTATCGTCGTATAAAAAAAACATTCCTCCTTGTCGCGAAAGATGCGATCCTAGTGTAGCGAGGAAGGCTCCGAGATTTTGCGACGCGCACTTAAAAAGGGGGGGAAACGAAAACGCCATAATTTATATGATATAGAAACCAGAGCAGATGTCACGCAATATTTCCGAGGTTTCTATTACAGGCGATAAAAAATGAAAGACAGAACGTGAGGAGGCACATGGCGCGTCTCGGGCAGTTCCTTTCCTAGGATGATGTGAATATCTGCTTTCAGGATAAACATACCGCCTCATGATATTCGACTCCAACGGGCATTGCTCCGTTTCACGGGAGAACGTACACCTGCAGAACTGTCGCCTGCAATTTTGGCACGCGCGTAGTGCCCGGTTTCCGGTGCACTGCAAGCATCCGATCCTAATATAATTTCCGCGATATACGGCGGCGACATTAGATCCATCATCCCTTCGAAATCGATCAGACGCGGGACTCGTGCATGCAAAACGCATGGAATAACAATTTTGAAAGGACACATCGCGAAGCAGCGACGGTAATAATTCCCGCGCGCGGCGGTGTCATCGGCGTCGCCAAAATATCCCGCAGGATGTAATTCGTCACGAAGAACGGCGCAAGAACGTAACCGCGATATTTTTGCGGCAAACTTTCCAAAATTGAATTGCTCGTGAGCGCGCGCGCTCGCGCCCGCCGTGTCGCATTTCCGATATGATTCTCGTTTCTCTTTCCTTTTTTTCGTTACTTTTTATGAAACTGGAGTAACGAAGGATATATTTACGGTGAGCTTTAGCGCGATCTGCACAGTCGTGCTATAGCGTGATTTACCATCGTCTTTATTTTTCGAACGCTATTATACTCTTGCGCGAGGTCTCTCCTTTTGTATCGCGATATTAAATTCACACGCATATCCCTCCTTTTATCATCACTTTTTTATCATCGCCGTATACCGCGCCGCTCGGCGCCCGTTTACCGCTGCAGTAGTTTATCGTAACGCGATCTTTTTGTTCGTTCAACCGCAAGTGGACCAGAGGCTCCATGCATCCTCTCGCGGAAATCCGAATTCGCCACCAAGCCGCGCACGAGCATGGTCGTCAGTTGGTTAACCCGCAATATCCTAACTTCCGCTCGTATATGGTCGCCCTATTTGGCTATCAAATAATTCGCGTCCTATTGTAAACATCTATTGTAACCGTCGGCGGTGTAATATTGTCCCCTTCTATATTTTCTCTTAATTACTCTGACGCGCGTGAAATGATTAATAAAATGGCAACTTGATGTGTAACTCTATTTTCTAAAAATTTAGAGATAATAAAGAATGCAAATTCAGCGGCAAAAATCCAAGCGAGAATAAAATAATTAAGATATAATAAAGGTGTGTGGCTAAAATGGATGATGTCTTAAACTAAATTAGAGACATTAGCTATTTATGATTGAAAAAAATTATTATTTTCAATATATAGAAATGAAGGAAAATTACATAAATGTGAAATAAAACTGAAGAAAGCGCCGAGAATTCTCTCAGCTTAAAGTTAAATTCTTAGAAAATCTCGCGAAAGTCATTACTTTATCTTCCTCGCTACATTAAATACACATATATATCGTATTTATCACGCGATAAAATTGAACTCGCGATGCCTCGATTAGCACATTTCGACATGCGAAACGTATAAATCGCGGATATATTAGCGCGCGCTGTTTAGCGATTCGTTATTACGAAGTATAACCGCGCTCTGTCGGGAGCAAATCATTTAGAAATTTAATGTCATGAATGTTAAGTAACGTCCCTCGTTTGCGTCGCTCGTTAATGTACCGGGGGAGAACAGGTAATTCGGTAAGCATAAATTTTAGAGCCGCCATTCTCCGCGTCCGCCGCTGCTTCCGGTCAATATTTCAATCAAAGTTACACCGCAATTCTTATTCGCGCTTTTGCTTTTGTTTAATTTGCCATTTCCGCATTAAACAAACTACTCTTTCGGCCATTTTCAGCGATTAAAAAGAAATTGAAAGAAATGATATAACGCTGTTTAATTAATTCCGTGATAATTATTTCAAGATTTGAGAGAGAGCTGCTATTTTTATTTGCATTACGAAATTAGACAAAGCTTTTTTTAAATGCTTCTAAGACATTATTGCGTTTGTCCTAATCATTTCAAGCGTTTCCGATGTAATATTTGTTAATTATGTGAATATTACATTTTCAAATTACTGTAGATTGAAGTATTTAGATAACATTCCGTTCAGGCAGAAGGCGCGCGATAAAGTCATTTTAACAGATTATAGATTATAAACCGTGATACCGGCGTTTATGAATTAAACCCACGTCTCCGATATTACTGCGAGATTGTACGACACGTTATTTGTGCGAGCAACTTCATAATACGATCCGATCTTCCCTTCGTTGTAACATCGACCCCCCCGATAATTCTAAAATTGATGCCCGAATACATTCCTGATAGCCGAGGAATGAAAAGCAACGCGTAAAAGGAGATGCGGAGGAGATTTTCACAAAATGCGACCCCTAAAAATTTATGAGCTTATTCAGAGACAAATATTTCACGGAAAGAACAATTTTGCTGAATCCAGATCTGAAAATAATTTTTGTTCACTAATCAAAATAATTTTGTGCGAAAGTCAAAGTGATTGCTAGAATATAAAAACCTTTTATAGCAATGCTTATCAGCTTTGACATTCCAACAAATTATTTTGATGATTCAACAAAAAATTATTTTCAGATCTGTTTTTAGCAAAATTTTTAGACCTTTCAACAAAATCGTTCTTTCCGTGTTTACTAAGTTTTTATAGATATTACATATTTCTTATGTAAGGTAGATTAGTAATTGCGGTATCTCTGTAAACGGCATTGAGTTTGAATGATTATGCGTTTCGTAATTTTATTGATTGTCGAGGTAAATTCTTTCGAATTATGCTGGTTATAGCCCTTTCGTGGACTCTCGAACGTCATTGTTAATTCCAAATGATTTAGTGTCCAATATTAGTAATGCGCTCTGCATCATATTTAGTTTAATGTATACGCGGGGTTAAGCGTCGCATGAAAGCGTCGCTCTTGAACGTGACATCTTTTCACATGCTTTCAAAGCGATGACAAACGCCTCCTGCTTTGTCGCGCGCCGTCCGATGGAGGAAAGTTATGCATTTGCAACATCACAAACGAGATCTTGATGACGCACGCCGCCAACAACAAAACAGGAGGAAGTGACATTGTCAAAAGTGAATTGAAAGCTCGTGCATTTGCGTCAAAAAAAGTGTGTCTCCTAAAGAACGAGAGATTCTTCATTATAAGCTCCTCCATAATTCTTTTACGAATTTTAAGGAAAACTGATGCCGCATCTTCGGTAGAACGCCGAAATCAAATCATTTCAGAGCACTTATAATTTTCTTTGATTTATAGTAATTTTGTTCTCGCGATTCTTATTGACACGAGCCGCTCACGCAAGTTTTATTTGTCGCCGTCAATAAGTCAAAAAGCCGCGCTTGATATTTATCTCTTCGTTCGGCCAGAATGGGTTAAAATAGGCGATAGTGATTCGCGCGAATCGAAGTGGAAAATCAGACTCCGACTGTATGTAAATCCGTGAATTATATCCGCCGGGGGCTGATCGTATCGAATGCACAGATAGTTTCGTAATAGATTTGTAACTCCTAGTCGCGCGCGCTTTCGTCTGGCCCGCGGTTGTTCGATCGGCCGCCCTTGGTAATTCTACGATTAATGCGTTCAATCCGTCCCGCATTACACGCACGCTATCGCCAGCACGCGACGATTTGTGCGTGGAGAACTGCGGCGGTTTCCCCCGATTTTCTATCGCAAACGCGCGAATGGTTACCGAATTGTTACCGTTGCAGATGTTACTAATATCTACAAGCATCAATAACCCTCGACGTTTATCTCCGTCCCACGTTTACAAAATATTTTTCACAATATTTCCACCTCGATTGCTTCAGCGTCTCTATCATGAAATCACATTGTGAAAAAATTTAAGATGAATTTAAGCTGAAGCTTTATATATTTTGAAAAAACGGCTGACACGATTTATTGCGGTTCATGCGAAGAAACATAATTAATCATTACATATTTGTTCTCAAAGCTACACGCTATGGAGTTTTTAATACATATTTCAATTTATGCATTCTGACTTTACCAAATGGTAATTAGAATTAGAAATACTATCTACAATTCTTACGAGATTTTCACGAATAACAATTTGAAATATTATTCCATATAGTTCCATAAACAGCTGGATATAAAATAGTGTGAAAATTCATCTTTATGTTATATTTATCTTCTAAAAATTTAATTAACAACTTCGAGAATTTAATGGACAATATTGAAAGTCTAGACTATATAATTAGATAGAAGAGAAAGAAATATATTTACAAATTATGTATATTTGCCAACAATGCGCGACAGCGACTCAAAGTTTTTCTTATTTTTAAGAGGACACAGACATGTTATGTAGAGAATGTTAAAAGCTTCTTCGAAAGAAAATGAGCGATTAGATTAATTGAATAAGTTAGTTCAAATAGATTTTTTTCTTCATATTTAGCGTTCATCTGGGACGATCGGCCAGATCCTTGGCAATCCTTGCTTAATTATTCATACAACCGCGTCACCCGCATTTAAGTTATAGTCGAACTTAGGAAGACGGTATAGTACGCACCCGAGGACGCCGTGAAGCCGGCGTGCATGGCGTACCGCGGCGCGGCCATGTGCTGGGGATGCGGGGTCGGTGGTAGGGTCGCGTGCGATGGCGGTACCGTTGCCTGGGGGTGGACCGTCGCCGTCGGTCTCGAGAGTATCGTGTCGATGCCGTGGGGATTGCTGCCGACGGAGGTGATGGAGGTCGCCGGGCTGTGCTTGCCGCTGCCGGTCGGCGACGATTGGCCCTGCGTGATGGTGGATAACGGCACCGTGATACGCGGTAACTGGATGCCGCCCTGTTGCTGTTGATGCGGCGGATGGTGCTGCTGCTGGTGCGACTGCTGCTGCTGTTGATGCTGCTGCTGCTGCTGCTGCTGCTGCTGTTGCTGCTGCTGCTGCTGCTGCTGATGCTGATGACTCCTCTCCGCCATAGAGTGCAGCGCTGCCAGCGGCTGGCTACCGAGCATGCCACCCCCGGCGGCGCTTAGATTGAGAAACTGCAAAACATGGGGCGCGGCCGCCGCGTGGAAGTCGTGGAGCCAGGGCGGTCGCGGGGGCGGCGGTGAGTGGCTCGAGGCGGGCGGCGGCGAGCACGAGCCCAGCGAGGAACCCGCGGACGAGCTGCGGTCGCCCTGGTCCAGGTGGTGGTTATTGTTGCGTCGATGCGCGTCGCTGAGCGACGATGACATGTTCTCGGCGATCTCGAGTCCGCCGCCCTCCGGCGTGGAGCGCGATGGCGGGTCCGGGCACGGGTCTCCGCTGTCGGCGCAGGCCTTGCCGCTGGTCAGAGAACACACCATCTCGCACCACGCATAGTTCGGTATTGAGCGAAAAATCTTAGCCGGTGCTTAGCTGCGCGCTGGACGCGGCGGCGTGCGGCCGCCTCGGAACCGCGCGGAGTCCTCGCGCGCGAGGGGATTCCCGAGGACCACCCGCCGTGCCGGGGAGGAAGTCCCGCGGCGATTCGGTTCGGCCGTTCGTTCGGAGGTATATACCGCGGCGCGACGGTTGTCTCACTGCGCGTTCCGCCTGAACAACGACGCCTCGGTGCAGGCACAGGACACGTTCGACACTCACCGCGATCGCGACCGCGAGTGACACTGTTCTCGAGGAGGGAGGATCGTGCTTCGCTCTTCCCCTTACCGTTTCGCGTTTCTTCCGTTTTACCGGCGTCTCACCGCAGGTCAATCACATGATCCCCATCGGATACCCCGCGGATAGCACGGCGCGTAGTCGTTTGCGCGCGACTGCAGGCTGCCGATGACACACGTTCCGCGAGACGGCGATCGATGAGTGGAGAGACGTGTAGTCACCGCACACCTTGAACAGTAGTCACCGGTTCGTCGGTTCCGCGCGATGACATGGAGAACGACGAACGATCAAGAAACGATTAGTCACGGACTGTTCCGGTCTGAACTGATCACCACCGACGGGTGGTCGACACGCGCGATCAGGAAGTCGTCGTCCGTGCCGCGACGGTACGGGGTCCTTGCCGAGTGACTCGCCGCGTCGCCAAATGGTGTGCGAGCAGGGTGCATCGGGCGCGCGCTCTCTCTCCGGCGGGAGATCGAGTCTCTCTCCCGTGCCTTCGTCCTTGCCCTCGTCCTCGCGCGCGCGTTCCGGAAACCGCCGCGGCGGAGGGAGAGATAGGTCGGCCCTCGACGCGAGTCGATTGGCGTACCGTCCGTGGGTTGTTTAAGTGCCTGGGGGCGGTACCACCATCGGATTGGTCGACCTGGTGGTTTTCCACCGGAAGGAGAGGTGTTCCGGGCGGGGCCTCTCAATCTCGCGTTAGCTTCTTGTTAAGCGTCTTTCATTGTGTGTTTAAATTCGTAATTTATGATCCCGACTGAATAAAACAAGAACTTGCTGGTTCGCTCGCACGTCCGCTCGCTCGCTCGCTCGTACGTTCGCTGGCTGGCTGGCAGGCAGGCTGGCTGGCTGACTGGCTGGCTGGCTGGCTGGTTGGCTGACTGAGCCTCTTTGGCTCTGAGACTGGCCCTCTAGTTTGCTCGACGACTGGGCACCTCCGCGCGACTACGGTGACACTACTGTCTCGATAACTCGCTTCCTTCCGTCGTTCCTTCCTCTCGCTACCCATGGCACCTAACCGTCTCTCCTACCGTGTCTCTTCCCTTCATCTTCTCATACCCATTTAGCTCTATCCTTCCCGCCCACTCGACTCCTGCAGGTCCACCATCTATTCAACCCTTCGGCCTTTCAGCCGGTCGAGTACGCGTAGACAGAGCAAATCGAGTTATTCGCTGCCGATGGTCCATTTAGCCTCCTCTTGCCCGCCGTACGTATATGCCGATGCACGTGTCAACGAGAATTCGGTTACTTCATCCCGATGAACCATCGCCGCGTCGCGCGCTCCAGTGCGGCGCGCGGCTGACGTAACTAATGTCGGATGAACTCGCCGGCTCTCTCCAGGCTCTGGCAGCCGACCAATGTAATGTCGGCCGCGCTTCGTCGCTCGGTTCCGCTCTCGTCTATTGGATCCGCGTTTTAGACTCGCCTTCGACCGAACGGATAATTTACGGCGGCTGACTGCACTTCGCGCTCCCGGTCATTAAGCGCCGCGTATAGGCGGGGTGTGCACGCTGCTTCTCTCTCTCTCTCTCTTTCTCTCTCTCTCCTTGGACTCTCCTTTTCCTCCCCACGCATTCGCTCGAGAAGGAGCTCGTCTGGTTCGACATGCGACCGTATAATCCTTAAACGAATTCCTCGCAAATTTCTTCCGCTCACCGTATGTGAGCTAAATATTCTCAAACTTGGAGCACAGGTTTCTCTCGGTTCGAAATTTTTTACCTTCACGCTTTAAACGTAGATCTTTTCGACCTTACGTGCTAAACGCTTTTGTAAGTGTGAGATAAAATTTTGCAGGATGAAACGATAACCTTTTTTTTTTTACAGCGACGATATCTAACTTGTAACATTCGTCATCATGCCACGAAATAATTACTTTGGTAAAAAAAAAAAAAAAAAAAAATCGATTCAAGCGAATGAAATTCAGTTTCAAGTGAAACGGGAAAACTGGATTGCGAAAAATCACGAATGTACAGACGCGACATTTTGAACGACAGTGTACGTTCGAGCGCAGTATCTGCATCATTAAATGCGAGCGTGCCGAGATCGATCGTTTAAGAGTAATTATGCTAATGCGGCCCGATTATGATGAAGGCTCGAAATAAGCTTACAGGGTATCATCATTACCACGTTCAAATACGTGCGTATTATTAATAATGAAACAATAATGGATATTATTAAAGCAGCATGACGCAATAATAGCCGGCTAGCTGCAGCGCAGTTGCCAATATTTGTTGCACCGTATTAATCACCAGTCGCATTAATATTGCACTTGCGCACGTAGGAGGCTTTTGCAATCCGTTTCGCGCTACAAATTGTTGCCTAATTCGCAAGAAAAGCGCTTTTCGAACGCTTCTCATAATTCGAAAACCACCGCGACTACCTGGAACAGAGACTGAAACATTTCTATTATCGTGGGTTCGCGACGATGATTTTCTTGCAAAGTCATGCATTTCCCTTGTGCCCTCTATTTAATTATCATGTCGATTCTTACGCCTGGCGAGGGGTAACTGCGTAAAACCGGGGAAAAAGGTTTCTCGGGCCGGTATTCTCCCGGCGCGAAGAAGACCGAGCGGGATTTAAATCTATTTTATTTGACCCCGAAGGATCAGTCCTTTTCATGGAGAGGCGACTCCTTTTCCGTGGGCCGGACGAGAAAGAGAGAGAGAGAGAGAGAGAGAGAGAGAGAGAGAGAGAGAGAGAGAGAGAGAGAGAGACTCTCGCCGTTCCTCTTTCCGTCTTTCGGCCGGCGCAGCCTCCACGGACGTTCCTCGCAAATTATGTAAAACACGAACGGGCACAGCCAGCGACAAGTATTGATTCCCATTCGCCGGATGTTTTACGGCGCGTATTATTTTCGAGAGGAGCGATTGTTCGGCCCGACGGAACCGACTCGTTTCTCGTTCACGCGAGTTTTTCGCGAGCCAAAAATTCTGTTTCACTCGGAACAAGGTCTCCTGTTACGGCGAGTTATAACAGATCACGACGATGGGAAAAAGTTATTTTCCCGACGAATGCATCCTGCGTAACGACATACAATAAAGATCCTACGCTGAAATGAAATTTTTTCCTTCTCTTGAATTGAAGAATTAGGTTATCCACACAGTCCACACGATATCTTTACGTTATTATATTTTAATGTCCGTTATTTATTTATCTTATTGTTTCTATTTATTTATTTTTTTGTAATGCAAATTATTCCGTTTATACGTTTCAACAGAATTTAACGATTAATTGCACTTATGGTATTACAATTGGTATAATCTTTTCTCTACAATGGTAATCTTTTTTTTTTTAACGTTTTTCGTATCTCTTTTATGCAATCTTTACAAACTATATGGCATTACGCTGGGATCTTTTTTCTCGAATTATCGATTATTCTCCGTACAATATTTCTGTTATTAAGTAAGCTAACGTTTGACATGTGGATATCCGGCGCGAATCGAGTGGCAATAAAAGCGTTCTTATTTAAACACCGTTTCGCAGGATTATTTCGAATAATTTGTTAGCCCCGATAAGCGGCAGTAGAACGCGCCATATGCCGCGCGCGCGATCGCGAAATATTAAATCCTAGTTGTATCATTGCCCGCGCGTTGCCACGGCAAACTTATCTGTCAAATATACCTCGCTTTAATAAACCAGCGCAACGTACGAAATATCACTCGTGAAAGAAATTCGTTATTCTCAGCGAATAAAAGCGCCTTGGCCGCTATTTATTCCTATACACCTTTTTTTTACATTTTACCCACGTCTACAAATACACGCGCGAGTAATTTCGAAGGCGGTTCAGGCGGACCAAATAGTCGTGAATACTTCTTGACACCTCGCATAATCGCTTTGAGATACAACGCGTGCTCGGGACATAAATTTGTCGTTAAAAAACTACGCCCATTATTCGGTTCCCTTCCTGCAGAAAGTCCGCTATACAAATTCGACTGCTTGTATTCCCGGAGTCCCACCCCTTAACCCTCCCTATCGGCGACTGCTTCTTCCCTCTCTGATGGACTCCCTTCCCTCCCCTCCTCTCTCTCTCTCTCTTTCTCTCTTTCTCTTTCTCTTTTGTTATCCCTTCGGTTTAGGGTGGAATTATTATGCAGAGACCAAAGTGTCCCATAAAATCGCGCAAATTACACGCCCCGATGCGTGTCTGAGCTTCATCGTAGTGATTAACTGACAATAACGGTGAAAACCGGCGATTCGGCGGCGCCGATTAATTGGGTATTTACCGGCGTTTGCAGGACCGCCTGCGGAGGACTCTTTGCGATCGACGTCGTTTTAGGGTTTTACGTGTGCATCAGCTGTCGTGGCCGCTTTACCGCGTGACGATGGGTTAATTGATCGGAAGATTAGCCTCGATTAAGGGCGAGAGAGTAAGTGGGTATTTATCCAATTGCGGGTAATCGTCTGGAAAAAAAAAAACGTATTCTCGGAATTCAAATTCTTTAACAAATCATGAAATTGTGGTCATCGTTATATCATTAGTTTAGGCAGACAGATATGGGAAAGATATATACACGGAGAGAATTTTATTATAAAACTCAATTTAAATTTATCCTAAAAATCATGTTAATCGTGGGACAACATAGTATTAATTTCGGCGACTTTTATGTGATTTTCATTATTTTTTTAAATATATACTACAACTAATTTATTGTAGTACACAATAAAAAAACAGAGAAAATCACTTAAAATTTGTCGAAATACTATGTTG